ACCCCGCTCCCCCGGGACGGACCCCGCGCCCCGCGGTGCCGGGGTTCGGTAATTTCGAGCCCATGTATGGTTATGCTTTGTTGTCGGTAGCTTGGCAGAAAGGCACATGACTTCAGCAGTCTGGAATGCGATTCAGTATGTCTGGGCTCCGCTAAACGCACATAAGGAAAAGTGATTCCTGACTAAGTTATTGTTCTGGCCCCGCGTCCCCGGGGGGTTGTAGGGAGCTCCGCCGTACATTGAGTTTAACAGACCAGCAAATACCTGTGCTTAAACCAGCGATTCCCGCCGCTCACTCCCCTCTTTCCCTTCCTGTTGGTCTCTGCAGCACAGTCCGAGGGAAGACCGTGTGAATATAACTCCAAAATCTACCAGAACGGCGAGAGCTTCCAGCCGAACTGTAAACACCAGTGTACGTGCATAGATGGAGCTGTGGGCTGCATCCCGCTCTGCCCGCAGGAACTCTCTCTTCCCAACCTGGGCTGCTCCAGCCCCAGGCTGGTCAAAGTGCCCGGGCAGTGCTGCGAGGAGTGGGTCTGTGACGAAAGCAAGGATGCGCTGGAGGAGCTGGAAGGCTTTTTCAGCAAAGAGTTTGGTCCGGATGATTCCGAAGGCGAATTAACCAGGAACAATGAGCTAATTGCCATTGTGAAGGGAGGCCTGAAAATGCTACCTGGTGAGTGTGGATTTATCTGGGTGACAGTTAAGGGGAGGAGGCCAGACAGTGCCTAAATGACTCCTTAGAGCCCAAGGGAAAGAAAGAAACCTAGTGAGATAATATATTTAGACTAACTCCTCTTTTTTTTCCCCCAGTTTTTGGGTCCGAGCCACAAAGCCGAACTTTTGAGAATCCCAAATGCATTGTGCAAACAACCTCTTGGTCCCAGTGCTCAAAGACGTGTGGAACTGGCATCTCCACAAGGGTGACCAACGACAATCCTGACTGCAAGCTCATCAAAGAGACCAGGATATGTGAAGTGAGGCCATGTGGCCAGCCCAGCTATGCCTCCCTAAAGGTAAATACAGACTCCTCTGGTGTTTCTCTTCTCTCTAAGCTGCTTCAGGTAGGGGGTAAAGGCTGGAAAAGCATCTCCTGCTAACAATGTTACTGCCTTTCCTTTGCAGAAGGGAAAGAAATGTACCAAGACAAGGAAGTCCCCCTCCCCGGTGAAGTTTACTTATGCTGGATGTTCCAGTGTGAAGAAGTACCGCCCCAAGTACTGTGGCTCCTGCGTGGATGGCAGGTGCTGCACACCCCAGCAGACCAGGACTGTCAAGGTCAGGTTTCGCTGCGATGATGGGGAAACCTTCACCAAGAGCGTCATGATGATCCAGTCCTGCCGATGCAACTACAACTGTCCACATGCAAATGAAGCCTATCCCTACTACAGACTAGTCAACGACATTCATAAATTTAGGGACTAAGTTGTGTTGGGGGTGGGATGCAAAACAGAATTTTGAAGTACCCAGCCATGGAGAAAGGACCTTTGATGAAAGTGTTGCCTTGCCCATTTGAGGGCAACATCGAGATGTTACAGGAGTGCACTGTGCAACTGGACACTAATGCAACAGAGATTTAATCATACTTAAAGCTTCATAATACTGGAGCAACTTTACTGCTTCTTTTTGGAGCACCTTATCTAATTATATACTGTTTTCTGTTTGTAAGTGATCAGATTAATGTTTTGTTCCGGTTACGAAAACTTTTCTATCCTGTTCAGTTTAACACTATGCTTCTCCCCCTCCCTTCGATCTTCTCCCACCCTCTCCCAACTAAGTTGGAAGTTACATTCCTTCCTCAGGTGGGCACTTGTGGGGTGTTCACAGTGGCAGCTATTATGTACCAACTGTAGTTTAAGGGCAAACAGAAATCAGTTGTTTTAAAGCTGAGTATTTTATTTATCAAACTGTAGCTTTTTGTTTGTTTGTTTCCTCTGAGTTTTTTTTACCCCTTCCAGCCCCTGTAATACTGGAATAAGTTGTAAATGATTTTAATTTTATATTCAATGAATTAAAAGAATTTATTTATGGAATTAATCATTTAATAAAGAAATATTTACCTAACTACTCTTAGTAGAGCATTCTGATAGGCTGCAGGCTTAAATACAGCACATGCAAGAGGTTTCTGTGAAAACTGAATTCTGAAGTTCGGATTCTCTGAAAGTTAAAGCAAGTTCTACTGCAGATGTGGAAATGGACTAAGTAGCCAAGACTAATTCTTTGGATAGATGATGTTTTGAAGGGGTGTCTGCAGTCTGCAACCCCATGCTCTAGAAAGCATACATAGAAAGAGCTTCTTGGCACTGAATGCAAATCTTTGATAGACTGAAATGTTAATTAGACTGTCAGATTATTCAAACTGTCCTGGAATTTGCAACATAAGGTACTTCATTAGAATGCAGTGCATGCACGGTGATGTTGAACATTGGGGTGAAAACGGTCATCAGGTCTCACGTTTTTTGGTGGCTGCTTTTTGCAAATTAATACATTTCTATGGCAGAGGAATGCTTCCTACAGGCTGCAGGAGGTAGTCTGCTTTCACTAAATTCAAATTAAATGAGCTTGAAGCAATGACTTTTGTTAATCCTAATAACACAGTGATGAAAAGTAAACATACTGTTAACAAGAGAAGAATGTGAGGAATTTCAAGTACTTGTCCCATAGAGTAGAAAGCAAGGGAGCTACTCTTTTCCTCACTTCCCTTTCCCACTTCTTAAAAATGCAATTACACTTTATGTTGTGGCACACAGATGACATTTAGCTAAGCAAGGGAGCTTGGTGGCATGCAGTAAAAAGATGACATTTAAAGAAATGAACTAGAGCAGGATATGAGAAAGAATCCAACACTGTACACTTCTGGTTAGCCTAAAGCTGTGCTACAGACAAGAGTGAAAGGAAACCTGCAACAGGGTATTATTTTCTTCTTGTGTGGGTATTTCTCTGTCAAAATACTCTCCCACAATCTTAAGTAAGAAAGATATTGCTCATAAATCAAAAAAAAAAAAAGACTGATTTTGAGGTTTTAGAATTGTGAAGCGGTGTCATCCAGTGTCATTAATTACATGCAGAATTGGTTAAGGGTCAATTTTTTATTAATTAGACATAAATATCTCAATAAAATAATCAGCCAAATATCTCAGAAGCTTATCTCTGGCAGCTAATGCTTTGAGAAATTACAACCTTCCTTCTTTTCTGCTCAGTCAAGTTTTCTCCCTGAAGGCATTCAAAAGTTGAGCTGTTTTGGAATTCACCACCTGGCCACCAGTCTCAGCTGTACCTAAACTTGTCTGCACAGTATTTGTTGACAGCAGAAGGGTAAAACGCAAGGAAGCGCTTTTGTTTGGCTCCTATGTAGATCTAGCACTGAACACTTTACTCCATCAGCTGCTCACTGAGAAACCATCAGGTTTACACATTGCCTTACTGTCGGGAGAGGAAGAGGATACACTGCTCCCAGACACCCAGCAGCTGCAGGCGCATTCCTCGCCATCGCCACTGTCACCCACACTTGAATGACATCCATCTTCACTCCAACGCAAGTAACAGCTCCCCAGAAATCACAGGGACGTGTGACTGTGCTGTACACAGAGACCCAGCTGTAACAAAGACAAACCATGGCCCTGCCGACTCTGCCTGAAGCGTGGCTCGATCCAGGCCCCGCGGTTTGCAACCTGCGCTTTGGTTTTTCCGTGTTAAGGGCTGCTTTCTGTGTCCTGCTCACTGGAAAATGTACTGCTGGGAGAATAAGGGCTGCAGAGGCAGGACAGATAAACAGAAGAGTGAAATATACTAAGTGAAGTTATCCTGATATAAAAAGAGTAAAACAAATCTCACTAAAAATACCTGCAAGTCTTCCAAAGCGTGGCTGTCACACCAGCTGGTCATCATCCATGTGCTCTTCTCTTCTGCATTTTACAATTACATGCAAAACTACTTTTACAACACTCTAAAAGGAATCACTGTCATTTTTTGTGTGCTGTCTTTGCACTTGCTTTGAAACCTTTACATCCTCTGTTATTCCAGCAGAACAAAAAATACCCCTAAGTAGTAGGTGTGGATGTATAAAGGATTATAAGCTCATGTTCCATGAAGTGAAGCAGCAGGGCTTACAGGTAAAGTAATAAGCACAACTGCATTTCTTGTCAAAAACTAAAATACCAATATCCTGCTTCCAGAGGGATACTAGGAGGTGAGGAGTTAGGAACGTGATAAATAATGTATGCGACAAAAAGCTGTGCATTTGGAGCAAATTCAAGCCCTAACAGAGGCCAGCAGCACCGTGTGGAGCTCCCTGGAGCTGGGCAGAGCCGCACACGGCAGGAGGGAGTGCGGCACTGCCTCAGCCTTCAGCGCTGTCCCCTCCACAGCAGCCCTGCCCCAGCCATTCTGCCTGTCCCCCTCCTGCCCTTCCCCGCTGCTGGCACTGTCCCACCGCAGCGGGACGGGGCACCCGGCCCAAGGCGCTGCTGCCGCCACAAGGAGCGCTCCTCACACTACAGGTGTAGGATGGAAGGAACGCAGCTTTGTATCCCACGCGCTTATATAGGAGAGCTTGATGGTGGTAAGCGCTGTAATACTAAGATTACACATAAAATCTTCCCTACTATTGAAAGTAACACAGTGAAGACAAAGTTTCAGCTTCCGTAAGTGCTCCGTGACCGCAAACAAAAGCTGGAACACACGGACAGACTACTATGACTACACTAAGTCCTCGTGGGATGCTGCCAGCTTGCTCTCCTGAAGCAGCAGCAGGTGGAGGAAAAGCTGGTATCACACTGACAGTGGGACAACAGAGCCACTGCTGAACCCTCATGGGGCTGAGAGAATCTCTTCTAACATCAATTACTGCAGAGCCCAAGGCAGATCAGTCCCCTGGGCCGCCTGAGCCTCCAGCTGACACTGCCTGGGGACAGACCCATCTCCCTGCTATCCCTGCACAGCCACTGGGCTACACAGTGACCCTGGGATCAGTGGCATTGCTGCAGGAGGATTTCCAGTCCACTGAACCTGCATGAATCCCTCACACATCTTCAGGACTGACAAAAAAGTTTGAAGCGGGCGGTCATTCATTGTTGGAAGTCAAACCTACCCACCAACACAGAAGCAGTTAAATGTGTCACACCACAGGCTTACTCTTGCCAGATGCTTGCCCTTCTGAGCTGATCCTGCAGAAATGCATGTGCACAGTTTAGCTCACTCGTTTAATCAGTCAAACTACTTCGATGCAGGGCTCCAAGTGCTCAGCACACAACGAGGGAACGCTGTATAGTTTTACCAGCTGCTCTGCCTCAAGCCAGTTTCTTTCATGTAGACATGCCCCTGTTTTCACCTTGAGTTTTTTTCCTGCATATTACACAGCCACAAATAAAACAGCACAAGAAACAGGGAGGTGTCACAGTGAAAGCAGTAACATAAAGCTAAATTTGGAGGTACATAGAAATGCACTCCAATGCATAGACAACTAAACTGCATTGAACTGCAGTGAGACTTGGTGTCTAGAAAATATAAATTTTGCAAAAAAAAGGACTCCAACCAACAGAATGATACAATAAGCATCTATCATGCTGTAAAGACCAAACACCAGGAAACTGAATAGATGGCATCCACTATGCTATGGTTCAACCCAAAAAACTACACAGCTATGACTTCTATGTACACAATTTATATTGGAGAAGATCCTGAAAGACCCCAAGGCACCATTCACATAAGCACCTTCATCTGTCTTGAAGTATAACCACTTATGGGATGGAATGTAACAACCATCCAGGAGGAAAACATTACACAAGTTTTTGTAAGTTTTCATTTTCTAGTCAGAAGAAATTCAAAGGTGGGGTGAACACATTTGCCCAGCTGGGAATCCAGCTGGGACACATGCATGAACTACTTCACCTCGTAACAAATGGCAGCTTCAAACAGAATGGACTCCATTTATGTGAAACAATCAGCAGTAGCCCAGCAGTCTTTTGAGATCACTGAACGTCAGATCTAAAGAAGCCCAGTATACCAGCCAAGTCTAAGACACTAGCTGCTCTGAAACAATTAATTTCCTTCAGCATCTCAAACCAACCAGGTTTGAGAACAACTCTTACTTAGTCTATTAACTTGACAAAATCAGACATCAAGATGTCATGGCTGTAAAACCAGCAGAAATACCAAGCTGGAAGAGACACAACAAGATCATCAAGTCCAGCTCTGGGCCCTGTGAAGGAAACCCCAAGCGTCACGCCCTGTGCCTGAGAGCACTGTCCAAATGCATCTTGAACTCTGGCTGGTGCTGTTCCATTGCCCTAGGGAGCTGTTCCAGTGCCCAGCCTCCCTCTGCGTGAAGAAACTGCTGATATCCAACCTAAACCTCCCAACTCAGCTTCAGGCCATTCCCTCAAGTCCTGTCACCTCAGAGCAGAGATTGGTACCTGTTGTTCCTCTTCCCCTCCCGAGGAAGTTTTAACTGCAGCCTCCAGGCTGAACAGACCCAGTGCCCACAGCTGCTCCTCATAAAGCTTCCCCCCAAGGCTCTTCACCACCACCACCCTCCTCTGGACACTCTCTAACAGTTTAATGTCTTTCTTTCATTATAGCACCCAAACTGCCCCCAGCGCTCGAGGTGAGGCTGCCCCAGAGCAGAGCGGGACAATCCCCTCCCTTTCCCGGCTGGCCATGGTGTGCCTGATGTCCCCAGGACACAGCTGCCCCTGCTGGCTATGTGAAAGTGATGGGGACTTCTTGGCAAGTCTTTAATGCCACCCGTCCATTCTTTTTTGTTAGTATCTACATCTCATCCACTGACTTAATGCACAACTCTACTCCCTATCTTGGCAAAACAGACAAGTTCTGGAGCTGCAATACAGACCTGGTAGAGAGCCTGGAAGTAAGGAGTGGAAAGGCAAAAGCAAAAGCAGCTTTCACAGTAATTTCTTCCTTCTGGTTGAGGCAGAACATGAGGATGGTGGGAACAAAGTGGCAATGCACTTTGCCACTTAAAAACACTTGCTTTTCCACCAGCTGAAATGATGCAGGAACCAGCCAGCTCCCAGTGTAGTCCTTTATTCTCTAAAAAAAGACTCCCTCTCCCTTCCCATTTCTATTCTTCCTTCTCTGGCAGATTATTTTGACCTCATTCCGATTTGTCCTGCAACCACATGAACAGCTGCACTGATGCAGCTGATGCAAAAAGAAGTCTCATGCAAATGGATTAGATAAATACAAGGACTACTGTAATAGTCAAATAAAAAGGAATTAAATCCACCATTTCTATCATGAGTTCACTAAGACTTCCCCATACCCCAAAGGTAGGCAAAGCTCTAGTGGCTTTCCATATTTTATCACCCTATCGATTTTTCCTGCAAAAAAACCTACTATAGTAAGATATCCTGAAAATGCTTTTCTGCAGGAAAAGAAGTGGTGAAATTAGGCCAGGCCAGGGGTACTTTGCTTCCAAAGCAGTAACAAAAAAGCGACAATTCACAGGACCATTGAGGGAAAGCAGCTCTCATAACAAAAGCATCACTAGAGCAAAGTCACTGTACTATTGGTCTCTGAGACCTGCTGGGGCACAGTGAGAACACACTTCTGTTAACAGATCACAGTAGAACAACTATCCCTCTTCTTACCTGGCTTTTTACATGTCATCTGTAACTTCCTTTTCAGTTTCAGTATTTGAGTTATTTTTGCTGCCATTTCTTGTCTTGCATACATGTGACTTATTTCCATTTCACCACAGATTTCCAGCAAATAAAACCATATGCACTACCATAGCAACATTTTAATACAAACACAGTGTAATCTTTGTTCACTGAAGTACACAGTTCATTTCTTTTTCTCTTATTAACAGAATCTGCATCTGCATACAGTTTAACCGAATGTCATAGCAACAACATAAACATCAATTCAAGATATTTTTTCCTTTGGAGGGGAGAAGAATAAATGTTTTCAGGAAAAGAGTGTGGGACTTCAAGGAGAATGAAATGTTTGTGACTAAACAGGGCCTGAAGTTACATCATCACAGCTGTATATTTACTCTTGGAAAGCCTGCTCTTGCACGGTGTTATACATTCTCAGCTCCTACAGATGTCAACAGAGAACAGCCGTATGTGGCAGGGCAAGGACTGAATCCCAGCTATGCTGATACACAACACGTAGCTATGACTTGCTATCAGCGCTCCCATGAACTTAGAAATCCATGTACTGCTTCAGACTGGAGTCCACGTTCTGCACAAAGCCTTCCTCTAACGCAGAGTAAAACTGCACTGTTGACTGGAGTAACAACTGGTCCAGCATGTCTCTAAGGACCAGTGCCAGCCACACATTCTGTGGCATGACCCTCTTTTCCTCTATGGATCAACAATTCCTAATGCCAAGATAAATGCAGCAAAACTTAGAATTCAAATGTGTTCATTCAAAACTGAGCTGTTACACTGACAGGCGGTACAATGCTGTTTACCCATGACAACTCAATCTTACCCCCAGGAAGCTACACAGAAAAGGAAAAGAACTGAATTCTCTCCCATGGCTGACTCACTCCTACCTCCCAGCTATTGCTGTGTGCTTAGCTATGCTCTATTTTTGTCCTTTAAGGTTTGTGAAAGGGATGACATCATTAAGCTTTTAATTTTTTTAAGTAGTGTGTTCATTCAAGACAAGAGCCTTTATTCTTTGTAAGCTGATAGTCCTCCAGCTCAAGCATGCTGAAAAGTCTAAACATTAAATGAAATGCTGTAATAACACTACACAGAAATAGCTTGCTCCTTCTGTGACAAATAGTTTATAGAGGAAATGTGTAAGCATAGCAGGCATAAAATCAAGCACTCAATGAAAGCTGGTGCTGAATGATGAAGATTAAAACAACATCACACAGTTCTCATTCACAGACATGATCTGTTCTGAAACAAGGCAGAGTCCTGTAGGGATCTGTGTAGAATATGACTGCAATAGTATGTTTTCAAAATGGACAGAACTGAAGCCTTCTAGGCAGCCTCAGCTCCTTATCTTAAATGTCTAGTTCTTGACCAGAAATTGAAAAATTCCAGAAGGTGCTTTTTGTCTTTTCACTTTATTACAAGATGCCTGTTACAGGTTAAGTCACTCAGAAAGAAATTAAGAACTTTCCTTAACTGCCTATGAAAGTGTTAAAAAAACATCTGCCTAGCACAACAGTGCATAAACTTTGATTAAATCAGTAACATCATTATTATGAAGAATTACTACTAATATGAAGAATTTTGATTTCTTATTATAAAGAAAAACTGAAAAAGTTTAGGAAAACTGAATAAAATATTTGAATTGCACTTTGGTTTGTATTTGATCAATTACCTCTGCTCAGACTAGTGTAACTAAAAATAGGTAAGTAGTAACCTAGGAACGAATGGCAAATGCTACCTTTTACTCTCAGTTTTGACTGAACTCTGGGAGATTATTCCTAGCTTTGTCTGGGAAATTTCAGTTCAAGTAACCACCACAGGAATGCGCCTTAATTTTTTAAAGCCTTCTTTAAGGTAAATTTGAAGGATAGATTAAACAGCATCTTCATTAAAAAATAAATTGTGTTTTACTCACAAGGAAGCTTAAAATGGATTTATATGAGAAAACCCACCCCCCAGGCAAACCCTTTCGTACAATTAATGAAAACCCCCAAGAGCACAGGAAAGTAATGCAAATCACAAATCTGTGCTCCTCAAGACTAATCACACACACATACAGATCAACACTACTGTTTGCAGCATTCTCATTTTTACTATGCTCTGAATCCAAAAGAAATGCCATGCTTTTACTCCAGATGAAACATTTTCTGGCAAATGAACTGTGGCAGTTTTGCTATTTGCCTCTTTTATTGGTATTACTATGAATGAATTCAAGACTGGTCTAAAGTAATTTGTGATTACCAAGTCAGTGTGCAGCAATCACTGATTAGGAAAAGCTTATTCACTTTCACTGAACTGAAAAAAATATGAAAGCAGCACCTATACCTAGGAATCCCGATCCTTTAAAAAGGGTTAAAAAAACAAATGTTGAAACAAGAGGCGGGCAGAGGACCAACAATGACTAAGAAAGAAAATAGAGCACAGGTGGCTACTGCCAGGCAAGAAGAAAAACTTTCCTGTTTCACCAGAGGTTGCAAAACACACAAGAGAAAGGACACATGATACCACTGGGAGAAAAAGTAGTATGTGACCACAAAGGTCTGACGTTCTGGCCAAACTTCAGTAGTGAGCTATCATGGCAAACAACTTAACTCCAGTTTCTTTACAAGGGGAAAAAAAAACCTTCTAAAATTTTGAACATCTCAAAAATCCCCTCCATGCAGCATGACTGGTGAGGACCCAGCAGCCTGGTGCCCTAAATTCCAGACTGAGAGTCCAGAAGCCAGAAGCCTAAACCCTCCCTGTATTGCTCCCACAGCCTCCTGTTCCCTCCAGAAGCTCCTTCACTGTCGTCTTTTGTGTTTCTACCTACAACATTGGCACTGGCAGAAGAACACTTATGACTGAAATACCACCTTCATGGTAATTCAGCACACACCCCAGGCCACCAACACACAAAGGTGCCTGTCTCAAGCAGGAGACAGAGCCTGGGAACTAAGGCAGCAGCAACCTCAGAGCGCTGTTTAGACTGATTACATCCTGAAGACTTTACAAATACTGGCTTGGCCAGACCCTTGCAAAAATTAAGACAGAGTCTGACACTGATTCCTGAGAATGCCCCGGTGCAGTGGGGAGAGGGTCTCACCTGGCTTGCACCACTTGTGACATTGCTGTTCTCATCCTCCAACAGACCCCACAGGCATAGGGGACTTGGATACAGGATAAGTTGTCTGTGAGCTAAGAATCTTTCCAGAAGTTAACAACTGTCAGCAGACAATACAGGATTCTTTTTTTTTCCTTTACGATTGATTTGATTTTAAGTAGATAAATTTAGCTGATATGCCAGTAAGTATTTACAATACCTAACTTCAGTAGGTACTAGGAATATGAGATGCATAACACAAGCATTCTTTAGAAGTCCAGTGTTATTTGCATTAGTGCCAGTCTATGCACCCATTTCTATGGATTTAAAAACCCATGCTAATTTAGAAGATCTGGAGAGAAGACTAAACACACTACAACATGCCATCCTGAAAACACAGTCTGACCTGTCCATTAACACACGAAACAAGATGCAACTAAGTAAGGAACAAAAAAAAAAGTATTGCATCAAGCACCCAAAATGTCACCAGGGAAGATCAAAAATAACATGAAACTATGTGGCAGCTCAGTTTTACACAGAAACACTGTAAAAGGAAATTGATCTAATGAAATAACTGTACTTTTCTTCCAGCAAATTTAAGCATTAAGACTCACACACATGTATAAATACAAATATGCAATCAGGTATTTAAACCCAAAAATTTGGCACTAAGCTGGTTAGGAAAAAAGGAAAAACAATGGTGCAATTAAAGACAGCAATGAAATGAGAGTATTTCTTTTTTCTGAAACCACAATTCCCCATCCTTTTATTTACATCCCTAAATATGCATTATTAAATCCAAAAATAGTCAAGCACTTTCAGAGTGCTACTTTTAGTAAAGGAAGCTCTAGGAACTTAGTTGTATTAAAAAAATTTAATTAAATAATAAAAAAAATAAAAGCTCATTCCATCCTCTTCTCTCAAAGAACTGTCATAAACTGTCCCGAACCTCCCCTTCTTCCACAGATGAAAGGGATGAGCTTTAACTGTCTGAGTTCTCTGCAGGCTCACTGCCATCTGAGGATATAGAACACAAAAACAAACAAGCAATTAGTTTCAGCAATGTTGTTTGCTCATCAAACAGAAGCAGTTTCGTATCTTCTTTTCCTTTTAATCACTCTCTTCTTTAGGATAGCTACTTCATAAGACATAACCAGTTTCATGACATAGGATAATGCCCTGGATAGGACCTCACTGTTGAAAGAAAGCAAGACAATGTTGAGAATTCCTTTTACCTTTTATATCTACATCTTTCAGTCAAGTAGGAAAGCAGAGTATTTATCCCCCACAAAACTAGATCTAGTGAGAATTTAAAATTATTCTTTTGTCTTGTTTTAAATGTTGTTTTCGGGGATGTGACAGATATATCACAACTGTAATGAATTACAAACAATTTACATTTTTCTTAGTATTTCATTTAAGATGTGGAACTACAGAGAAATTTGAAATGGAAAATTAAAATGATGTAGCTTTGTGCTTCTTCCACATGTTCCAGCAACCCAAAGATAATGAAAAGCTAAGTCCATAAGCTAATGCTGGTGAAGTTCAACATGGACAGTAACTTACACTTTAGGGCACAGCTATTTGCTCTGCTGAGATCATGTAGTGAAAGTCTCATCTCTAAAACTGGTCTTCAGCCTCACACCCCACAGATCCTTCTTTAACAAGCACTGACCCTGGTCACCTTGTGCTGACGCCATCAAATGCCACTTGGTTGGTGACACTCTAGCAGCACAAAAATAAAGTACAGCAAAGCAGGCCCATGATTCACACTCTGGTCTCATTGTTATTTTCAGTATTTGATCTATGAATTTAAAGACGTTTTTGAGCATTTAGTATCAGAGGCTTCATTAAGAGAATGTTACCAAAAGGAAGATGATGAGGTTTAGCTACTCTCTGGTCAAGATAAATTCTACAGCTGGCAAACATGGATAATACATAGGACACAGTGTGCACCTGCACAGTTTCCAAGGAATTTGTTCAAGAAAATAGAAGCATTTCACCCAGAAACATCAGAGGTCACATTTTGTCTATATTAAATCTAGTGTATAATCAATTAACATTTATATGCTAGATATGTACTGAGTAATGCACAAAGTAAGGCCCGTGAAAGCTTCTATAATCCCCTGCTATCTTCAGCCATGACTGACCTTGTATGCTGAAATCAGAGCACCTGTAGTTTTTGCTGTTAAGCAAGTCAAGCATCAAAATATCACATAAAAGAATGTGGCAAACTTCTGACTCACAGCAATGCTCAACAGACAGATTTTATTTCTGTTACAGTAAAATTTAAAAGGAAATACAGATTGTCTTCACTCAAAAAGAGCGTATTTGTATGGTGCTTGATAGCATTGCCTATAAATTAAGATTGCCCAGTCCTTCTCACTATAAAACTGTCTGCAGTTTACTTATAATGTAAAATTCAAACTCTACGTTTTTCAGTGGCGGTTTCCTTTCTCAATCTTTATTTTCCTTATGTAGTTGAAAGTTTCAGCCAAAATACTTGAACCATCTCTGAAAAGAACAGGAGAAATAGGCTTTATACTCATTAAATCCTAGCTGTTTCTCTTTGAAGGTCTCCAGCTCTAGCTATTACCCAGTCCTCGGGGGTTACTATTCAAATCTCAGGGAGAATGGTCATCTTTCCCCAGCAAGGGCCTGTTGCTGTGGCTATGAAAACTTGACTCTTCTTCCTGGGGAAGGGGGTAGATCTGAGATTGCTCAGGAAGGAAACAGTATTTTAGCAATTAAATTCCCTCAAGACTTTGCTTCTTGTTCTAGCCTGGATCCCTTGCAAACAGGGTCAGCTGGGCTATGGCTGCCTGAGTCCCCATGCTCAGCAGACACCCTGCCACATGTCCACTCATGAGTATGGCAGCTGTTTGCCTGGAATGCAAAGGGGCAGAGAGGAAAGGCAGCAGTGGTGGCAACAGGATCAGCAGGATGGATGGCTTGGGAGGAGCGGCCACCGATACAGAAAGCCATACATGGCAAAGAAACTGGACTGCAACAAACACAGAAGATGCTGAAGCAGAAAGGTCACTTCTTGGGAGACAGGAAGGGGCTAAAATACTTCTGTGATTACAACAGACTTTGCCCTGGACAGTCTGGAGGTTAACATAAGATTTACTCTTAGCAATTATCTGTGAATGCAACTGCTAAAGCAAACTGAAAACTGTTTTTTTCCTTCTATATTCTGTAAAGATGACATATGAAAGAAAAGCACAATGATTTTGACACACTAAAATGGTATTTTGTCTTCAGGCAGAGTAACAGCTACAAGAAAGAACTCCAGCTCTTATATTCATGTTGTGAACATGTTTTTCCTCAAAGAATCTAAAATTACGGCCACAGGCTTCTACTCGGAACAGAAAAAGTATCAAGAACACAGGTTCCCAACCTAGCTCAAGGCTGAAGTTGACTATTAGTATCTTAACCAAACAGATGACAGTAAGTTATGATAAAAGCTGTGAAAATCATGGTGTTTTTGCCATTAGCTGTAACTTTTGCTATGTCATACCCAAGACACCTTAAGAGGGAGCTATTAAATTCATTTTTATGGAATCTATAGAAACAGTTAAAACAAAAAAATCAATGGTTGTCAAAACCTGAAATGGCTGTTAGTCCCCGTCAGAACCCCTGCAGGGATGACTACTCATCAAATGATTCCTGCAGCAGAGGAAGGTTACTGTCCTCAAGACACACGCTTGCACTGCCCTGCGCCAGAGCTGTCAGCACTTTCCAGCTATTACTGGCTCTCTCTTCCCCTCCTCTTCTGCCTTTTACAGAGTCAGGTAGGTGGTGCAGCAGCATGACCTCAAAATACTGTTGTTCAATCAACACTTACTTGAATCTATACCCTTAAAAGGACAACCTCCCTATTAGCTGAGGAGACAATGACAACTCTATACAGATTAAGTACATGAGTCAATCAATTGTAATTCCCTCTTAAATCATAGGGGTGCAGCTGAGTACTGAAAAGCAAGGCTCCTAGACAAAGAAATAATGGATAAACTCAAAAGCTTCATGCACTGCAGTGTATGTATGTGCACTGCCAGGGTGCATATCACGGGGCCACTCAGATCTGAGCCCTACCTTATCCCCTGGCACGCTGTCTCACCCTCAGAAGCCCTTGCAGTGCATAGCACAAGGAATTTCTGCATGCTGTATCTTTGGGTGCAGATTGCTCTCACTTAGGGGATCACTCAGTGTAATCTAGCCAGAACAGCCAAGCTCCACGGAGGTCCAGTATCACTGGTACAATATTCTCAGTCCCATATTTCATCAGTCCAATTAGACACATACAGAGCCATGACTGAGCTGCTGCAGGAAAATAGTAATTGAAAATATATCTCAAAGCTTTTCTGCAAAAATCTTTTAAGAATTAAGACTGGCCCATCACTGAAAATTATGGGATATGATAACTATGGTGACTACGTGGGGGACTAGGAGATGAGAACTCATTCCTTTTTTCAACAGCTGAAATATCTTTTAGCAATCTTTTAGCTTCAGAAACAGATGCTGGGACATGAAGCCTTTGTACTGGGGAGAGAAATGGAAATTAACTAAAAAACTAAAAGTAAATTTTTGTTAGATCTGGATTCTCTTCCAAATTAACTCCAAGATAAAAGTTTTCCATCAAGTAATTTTTAAAAGATAACACTGTTCTTTTACCCCACTCAAAAGTGACTTTGCCATTATGATTTCTACCATCTCGTAACTCAGAATTATTTGCCCAATGTTAGAAGCTATGCTAGAAAATAATGGAGAACAATTCCTTTGCATGATTATCAGGTTTACTTAAAACTCATCTTCCCCAGACAGCCTGACTTTTGAGAAATAATCAACTCTGTTAAACTTCGCTATATATAAAAAAAAACCTAGCATAAGTCCGAATAAGTGTTTCACCTTAGTGACTAAAAATACATAAAACCCCCAGTAAATCACCAGTAAACAAAGTTAGAAAAAACATATCCAATACAGCTCATGGACGTATGCCATCAGCCAGCAGATTTAAGACAAGATCTCTTTCTATAGCAATCTTTTAGCTTCAGAAGGAAATACAAGACATATTGCTCATTCCTTACAATATCCTTAACTACTGTTTATATAACTAAAATATCCAAGTATAACATAATAGGAAATAAATATATGCTCACCTTGGCCAAGAACCACCATGTCATTCTTCAGTGTTTTCAAGACCACAAATAATGTTGGATACTCAATTATTACTTTGCCTTTCAGATTGTCTAGAAGGCTTCTACTGGCATCCAGTTCATTGTACCTTAAAAATAACAAGAAGTTTACTTCGGATTTTAATATTAGCAAGGACATAATGTACATTTTCTGTGGGGGAAAAAAAAGTAAAAGGCTTCCTGGCATTTCATATAATTTTCAAGTGATACCATGTCCAGAAGAACTACCTTATAATTCAAATTACATATCCAGTCTTATTCTCCAACTACATAATTTTTTTAAACCTTCCTCATATTTAAGCATAAAGAACAAAAGGAGAATGAAAGTCAAATTTCTCTAAGGGTTGAAATGTTTTATTATGCCTTAATGAATACCTTTATCAAATCAGATAAGGACATAGGCTTATCAAAATTGATACATTTATCAAAATCTGATTCTAAATTAAAAATAACATTTAATATTTTACTTACGAGCTTTAACACTACAGGTTTAATTTACTTGGTTAGTAGTGTACCTTATTTACCACGTTTGCTTATGAATTATCAGTGAAGCCCTAGGAAGATGAAATAAAAAGCTTATCTTTACAGCTACTAAAGCATAGGTAAACTGGAGCACTTAGAGCTCTGCTTTGTAGGAGACATATCCTTGTTCCAATACAGAAGCAAATAATTTCTAGAAGATGGTACAATATCTACCATGCCAGAGCAAATATCTGCTCACAGCACTTCTCTAGTGAGAAGCTCCCTGCCGAAATCCCCACATACTTGTGTGTTCCAGAGGCACAAGACTGGGATGTGCAGTCCCTTCCCATGAAAGGGCTCCTCTTCACCCCAGAGAGTGAAAACAGGTACATAAGAAATGATACCACAGTAATCTGTGTAAAAGTAAACTGAGCATCCTCTCCACAAGTACTCTCTCAAACTGTAATGTTCTCTCCCAGCTCTTTAACTAGAAACCTGGGCATGGGATTTTGTGGAAAGGAAGGGGTATTAAAAGGCTTCTGAAAGGGGGACGTTGCTGCTTTCACTTGCTGTAACTGAGACATCCAAAGGATGCTCTGATATTATTACTCTGCAATCTGAGTTATGCAATTCTTTCTGTAAGCAGCATTATTGAATTGTCACTAAGGTGTTGTATCAGCTAAGGGCAAACAAAGTTCAAAACCAAAATATACTGTATACAAAATATACATGGAGTATTTACCACAGCTGCTCTACCTCCTCTGATCATTAACATATTATACAGTTGTGTTTTCTTTTGCCAAAACCAACATGGGATAGGTGAAGGAAATTATATACTTTATGATTTACAATAATGTGTGATTAAAAGCAGTACACTGGGAGTCAGCACACAAGAAGAATATTGGAGGTAAACCAGGAATTGAATCCCTGGGATTTAAGGGAAACTTAGTTTGAGCAAAAATTCTCTCATATTCAACTTCAAATCATCATGAAAATATTTGGTTTCATGTTTCTCTCAAGCCAAAGTAATTACAGCCTCTTCTTACTGAAACCCTTTAAAAGGGATAACAGTATATTACATGTCTTACAGAATGAATGCATTCATAAATTGTGGATTAACACACATGAACAGAAACATATTTACTACTTTATTTACAGTACTCTAAATGCAAAGTATGGCAATACCTTTCCTTTGGCAAGGACCTCAACACATTCCTTTCTGGTTAAGCAAACATTTACCACCAAGAGGCTAAAGTAATTCACATGCCACAATACACTTTCCATTATCTCATATTTTAGACAAAACATCTTTAGCGTCCAGCTTGGCATAAGATAAAACATTTGAACTTAAAACTACTTTATGATAGTAAATTACTGAAGTGTTAGATCACTGAGTCACAGCTTTATCATTTTTTTTGTTGAAGTAAATTTTATTGGTTGACAGTGACAGGAAAAAGCATCTAAATTTTTAGTCCATAATATGGGCTGTAAACTTCAGGAAGAATGTAACAAAAGACCTTATTGCTTGTCTTATTTAAACTTGTCTGTTACTGTATATATTATCCAAAAGACCTCAGTCTACCACATTTTCTACTTCATACACAAGTGAGGTTTTCTGCTAATCCACCTGTCAGGCTCTCCCTTGACTGGACATGCTTAAAAGATCTCAAAAGAAAACTTTTATCTGTCACATCAGTTCTGAAGTCTACTTAAGAACAGCTCTTGAGCAAGACTGATTTTTCAGGTTATCTCAGAAAGACCAGGTCATGATAAAAATCTTCCCAATTTCATCCCAGAACTAGAACAAAGACATACACAGTCAGATGGTCAGAGGGTGAACAATAGAGACCTATGAGCAAAAGATGACTGCCCTGCTGGGTTTAATCAGAAGCTTATGCACACACACACACTTCTGATTTTTACTTATGAAAAGGCTAGGCCTGTTTGGAGAAATATTAAATTAAATGGCATTTCTTTTTACAAGTCTTGTAACTTCCTGTAGTGATTATTCAACAGGATGAGCTAAGGATAGAGAGTAACACTGGGACAGTCGCCCTTCCTTGTATGTGCAGCAAACTGGTCTCACCACAAGACAGAACAGGGAGAACATCACAATCAGGTATTACCAGATATTCTTTTATCACCAGTTTTACCCGCTAGTTTTGTATCACTGGGATTGCACAGCCTGCATGAGAAGAACCCATAAGGAGCTGTAACCTTTTCAAACCCCTCCTTCACTGTGCACTTCAACTGACAACCTACTGAAATGAAGAACAACCACGGTAAGTCTGTCCTTTCACCTGGACTCTCTCATGCTCCAGGACCACCTGCAGGAACCAACTTAACTGAGGCTGTCATTCTAAATGAGCTCCTTCAGCCTTTCATTCCAGGATGGATTTGAGATAAGTTGGGCTCCAAACTAACTGACCATGCCAACAAAACCATTCCCTAAACACCCATCTTCACATCCTTCTTTTAAACCCTCCCTCTGCTTTCTCTTTTCTCCCACTGTCCCCTTCATATGGCTTCCTGATCCCAGTATTCAGCAGGACTTCTCTTTGCATGTTCCCTCTCCATCTTCTCTCCTCCCTGTTTTCTCTTTCCCTTCCTTATGTTCGCTCAGCCTTCCTGAACACCACCCACCATATAATAATATACTTTCCTGATTATTTTCTTGCCCCAAGTAAAGCTTTATGCCCATGTTGCAAAGCAATAAATAGGCCTGAATTTTTTCTTAATAAGAAATGACTCCATTTATAAGGACCACAAAGAGATGATCTTAGCAGACAACCGCTTTTGATTTTAGCTGGAATGAAATAACAATAACTGCTTTTTGAAGAACCAAAATTAAGTAAAATTTGCCTGCTAGCAGGCAGTTTAAAAGCCTACAAAAATTGTGACAATTGAGAAAATTTAGCAAGATTCAGCAATCCCACATCAGTTCCCATATAAACTGTTATATTTGCTCTATGAACAGTTGTTACCTTTCACAAAATACTGAAATTTATGTGGCTCTGCACTTCTGATAGCATCTGTGAGTTTCTGCAAAGGCTAGTTTCACTATCTATAGTTATTCCACCACCTTCCAGGAATTCAACAATTCAGACTCCTAATCTGTCTCCCACAGGCAGGAATGCCACATTAGGTCACAGCATCACAACAAGTTCCCCTCAAATGGAGCCTGTGGCTATCATCGCAATGGCGTAACTTGTCTCCATGAATTCAGACAGCAGGAAATTCCCTGCTGATCAGGTTTTCCTGAATGTCATCTACAGGAACTTTTTATTATTTAATAATAATAATAAAAATCTGCAATCTGGAATTGAAGATAAATTGTAGCCATGTTATTTCTTTAGTTTGGTCTTCTAGACACTGAGAACAAAAAAGTTTTAGCCATCTAAGTAATTGTAAATATTACCAAAATGTGGATTTGTGTAATGACATTTATGATTTCCCTGTGAGAGTGATCAACTAAACTGTTTGCACATATTTTACACAAAGATGACTTTTCTTCCTAGAACTGAGTGGAAACATCGAGGTATTTACTTGGCATAACTCAGATACATCATGCTATCTATTTTGGACTTAGTCCTAAAAATCCACAACCAAGCTTATGCTAACATATGGGAAGAAAAAAGGATTTTTTTGCACCAGACCAAAGAGGGTAGCATTTCCTAGGTATCTGTGTATGCCTAGAAGGGGCAAAGACTGGGTACAGCATTTAAAGTCTCTCCCAAGCACTCACTCTGAAGTGCTGCAGTACAGCAAAGATAATAACTAACAGATGGACTTTCATTCCTAAGTGGTGAATAACCTCTTCGTGTGGTTATGATTTGGTGAACATGGAAGTAGAGAAATGCTCTCTTGAATTAGGTATGAAAGGCAGAAAGCAAATACAATGCATTGAAATAATGCACAGTATTTATATTTAACTCTGTCACTAGAATTCTGACATTCTAAAAAACCTAAACCAGTGAATTTGATTAGTCCAGATACATGACAAAATTAGAAAACTCAATGAGCAAAACAGCAGAGATCTTAGGAACAAACAAAAAAACCCCCAAGACTTGCCATAACACTTCCTTTATAACTAACTCTTATCAACAGCAAAACAATATGAAGGAATACTCTGCCTGAACACTTTTTTAAGGAAAGAGAATAGGAACCTAGTTCAAGTTGATATTTTAATGTAAAAAAATTATATACTACAGTCTACAGAAGTATTTAAAAGCTTCTAGCTCCTCCTTCCACTATTGGTTATGTTTCTTCTGCTGTTCTAAGACCTCCATAATTTGCCTCAACAGATGTTCATTAACCTCTCCTCCGTACAACTGATACCTGCATAATTTAATCAATACCAGTACAGACCAGATGCCTGGCCAAACCCTTTTCAAGTCAAATCCTTATCGTAAGTACAGCTACCATCAAAAATTTGCTGCTTCTGGGGGGGGAAAAAAAGAAAATAAAAAAAGAAAGAAAATTAGGACAAGCAACCTTTTCTTATCAACCATTTGGACCACAAGTCCTGCTGGGAATCAACTAAAAAAGTACAGGAAGAAAAACTGCCAGCATAGCAGGAGAGCATCTTGGACATCATCACCATCTCCTAACTACACCTACATTCACA